TGGGGATGTGCACGCAACCAAGGGACATGCCCTTAACTGGAATTAAACCTGGGTCCCTTCAGTCTGCAGGCCGACGCTCTATCCACTGAGAAAACCGGTTAGGGCTTTAGTGTTTATTCTTATGTGAGCCTCACACCAAAGGCTTGAGAACCAGGCTTACTTGGGTTCCTGGTTGCAAGGGAAGCCCGTTTCAGCATGTTCTAGCCTGGTGTGCCCACAATCCTGTGTTCAGCTAGGCTTTTGCACACTTCTTCAGTTTTCCTTTTGTTGTTGAGTTGTTTAGATGTCTTTTAAAACTATTTAAATGAACTATTACTTATTGCATTTGTCTCCTACCATTAAGTTCTTAAGTAAAATATGACATTATATTTTTTTCCTCCTTCACAGTCTTCTCAGCCATTATGGCTGTCAAGTGGATTGGTGGACATTCTTCTCCTATTCTCTGCCTGAATGCAAGTTCAGAAGGGCTAGTGGCTTCTGGAGCAGAGGGTGGAGATCTCATGGCTTGGGGTGAAGATGGGACTCCATTGGGACATACACGCTTTGAAGGGGCCAATGACGTTACCTGTGTCTTATTCTCTCCCTCCTGCCCCACCAAGCTCTATGCCTCGCATGGAGAAACTATTAGCATACTGGATGTCAGATCCCTCAAAGGTTCCCTGGACCATTTTCATGTGAATGAAGAAGAAATCGCATATTTTATGCTTATTTGGCAAAGCCTATTAGATTTTATTCTTTAGTCCTTTCTCTGTGTTTTAATTCTTTAGTCTTTTCTCTGTGTTTTAATTCCTAATATCTGAGAATTCAAATATTTGATTCTAAACATTTTTTAAAGGGGGGCATGCTGAAGGAAGAGTTCATCACCCACTTTCTAAAAAAAAAAAGTTGGAGGGACTGGGTCTGTTGTTTTATTTTGTTTTTGTTTGGCCAGGGTGGATCTGTTGTTTACTTTAAAATTCTGGGGTGCATTGCCCAGCTAGTGTGGCTCAGTGGTTGAGCATTGACCTATGAACCAGGAGGGCAAGGTTCAATTCCTGGTCAGGGAACATGCCCGGGTTGCAGGCTCTGTCCCCTGTAGGGGGTGTACAAAGGCCCCCAATCAATGATACTCATCATTGATGTTTCTCTCTCTCCCTCCCCCTTCCTCTCTGAAATCAATAAATTAATATATATTTTTTAAATTCTGGAGTATGTTAATTACATATTATATATTGGTGGCCAGGTTTGAGGCATTATATTCATGCTGAGTTTTGAAAGGAACATCACAAATTAGCTCATATTCAGAGGAGAGTAGGTATATCTAGAAACCCCATTATGTCTGGAACTGTAGGTGTTTAAATTTTGGTTTTCATGAGGGGGGAAAGTGGAATATGCTGGTCTAAATAGAAGTCATAGGGAAGCAGATTTTTGGTTTAATTAAAGAAAACACTCTCACCCTGACATGTGTTGTTCAGTTGGTTAGAGCACTGTCCTGTACACTGAAAGGTGTCGATTCCCGGTAGGGGACTTATGGGAGGCAGCTGATCAATGTTCTCTCTCTCTCCCTACCGCCCCCTCCCCCTACTTCCTCTCTAAAATTAGTACAAGCATGTCCTCAGGTGAGGATTGAAAAAAAAACCACAACGCTTTCAAATAGCCAAATAGCTTGAACTTTCCCATAGCAGATGTGCTTTCTCTTGAGAGTAAATCTCGTATCACCGGAATGAGAATAATCATGGCTTCTTTTTGGTGAGCACTTAGTACTTGCCAATGTTTTACATATATTAGCTTTCATTCTAATTAAGCCCTGCTAGATAGCTATTCTTTTTTATACATGAGGAAACAGATTCAAATTTAGTGTTCACACAGCTGTATGAATTGGGATTCAAACCGCAATCTCTCTGGCTCCAAAGCCTATATTTTATCTGCATGATATTTCAAGCAGAATACCATGAATAATGTGGTAAAAAACGTTTTTGGTTTGGGAACACATCACTTCCAGAAAAAGAACCATTGTTTATTAAATGACCTATATACCCACCACTATTCTAGGCATTTCATCTACCTTTTCAACTATATACAGTATCTTTCTTCTGAGACTGTGACTCTGTTAATCACATCAAATATTTTGTCTTTCCACCTTCTTGGCCAGTGATCTTTGCTACTCCCTCCTCTATCCTCCTCACTCCTTCAGAATTTAGAAATAGATGAAGCTGATTTTTGTTGTCATTGTGACTGCCACTTCTCCTCTCTCAAGCTACTGGCATTTAGTAGGCAGAATCAGTGGATGTCCTGCAGTGCTGGGATAGTCCCTAAACAGTGAAGAATTGTCCTACCCAAAATACCTATCTAGAATTATTCTAAACTTATTGGGCACAGTGAGTCTATAACCTCTAAAGTCTTTTTCCACTCTAGGTCTTTTTTATTTTTAAAAAAATATTTTTACTGATTTTTAGAGGAAGGGAGAGGGGGAGAGAGAGAAACATTGCTGTGAGAGGATCGAGCCTGGATCGCGCCTGAAACCTGGGCATGTGCCCTGACTGGGAATCGAACTAGCAATCTTTTGCTGCAAGGGATGATGTCCAACCCACTGAACCACACTGGCTGGGGCTCTACTCCTAGGTCTTGATCAAGCCCTTTAAGACCTACGATTTTCTACTGTAGTGGTAATAATCTTCCTACTTGGTTGTGCAGAAAGATCTACACAACCAGGTGGATATCTGTTTTAAGTAGGCAGATTATACAGTGTCTCTTTGACTAGTCCTCTTATCAGTTTTCAATCACTGGTTCATTATTTAATTACTAGGCATGGCAATAATGCAAAATGACCTGTATTCTTCAGATTAGAAAAGAAGTGTGGGCATCCATAATTTACCATTTGCATCCAGTTCTAGGTAGGAAGCTTCAGTAGCAGCAACTGCTAGAGACCAGTATAAGAAATAAATATTTTTTTAAAAAAAGAAAGAAATATTTTATGACAAGGAGGCATAGGTCCTTGCTTGACTGCTAAGAATTGTTAAAAGTTCACTGTAGGTTACTTTTGCACTGGTTATGATATAGCAATAGTGGCTAAGACAACACAACCATGCTTTTAAGAAATTATTTCCTTACTGAAGGTGAAACTCTAATTTCTTCCACAATTTACCTTTTAAAACCTGATTCTCCTTTATACTTTAAGAATATCCAACCTGCCGAAACCGGTTTGGCTCAGTGGATAGAGCGTCGGCCTGCGGACTGAGGGGTCCCGGGTTCGATTCCGGTCAAGGGCATGTACCTGGGTTGCGGGCACATCCCCAGTGGGTGATGTGCAGGCGGCGGCTGATCGATGTTTCTCTCCCATCGATGTTTCTAACTCTCTATCTCTCTCCCTTCCTCTCTGTAAAAAATCAATAAAATATATTAAAAAAAAAAAAAAGAATATCCAACAAATAGAGGAGTCTAAGAATCCTATATAATAAAAGGCTAATATGCAAATTGACCAAACAGCAGAACAACTGGTTGCTATGATGAGCACTGACCACCAGGGGGGGCAGATGCTCAACACAGGAGCTGCCCTCTGGTGGTCAGTGTGCTCCCAAAGGGAGAGCACTGCTCAGCCAGAAGCCAGGCTCATAGCTGGTGAGCACAGCGGCAGTGGTGGGCCTAAGCCATTAGTCAGACATCCTCTGAGGGCTCCCAGACTGTGAGAGGGTGCAGGCCGGGCTGAGGGACCCCCTTGAGTGCATGAATTTAGTGCACTGGGCCTCTAGTATAGTTATAATATTGGGAGGAAGTTCTTATCAGGTTAATTTTGAGTTATTTCTCTCTGAGCAAATGTATTTTATCTCAAGGCAGAAATTTAATTACTACCACTCACAGTAGATATGTTCAACACACCTATCCTTGTTATTATAGAAATTATAAAAATTATATCTTTTGATTTAGATAGGTTTAAGTAATTAGGCAAAGCATAGTCAGAGAGTCAGAGATTTATTTATTTAACTCTCCAACCCCATGCTCTCCCAAAGGAAGAGAAGAACAGTCATCAATGGGCAATAGCATTGCAAAAGTAACACCAAAAGCCAGCTTCACACTCAGGAGAGAACACTGCACCTCCTCCTTGTGGTTTCAGGTGTTCCACATGTTCAGAGAAACTTCTCTAGTAACAAACTGTAGAAATGATCCCTGAAAGTATAGTCTTGAGAGTCCAAACTGTGATTAATTAAGACACGAGACCACTTAGTTTTATATTAAATAGATGCAAATAATAATTATAGTGTATGTGAAGGTATAAAGAATAACATTAAATAGACATGCTCGCCATCCAGGAGCACTGGAAGTATGTTCCAGTCTTTCCCTTCCCCCTCTTCTTCCCTTACAGGCTCTCCTCTTTCAGTGTGTGCATCTCCCAGCTCTAGGGGACCCCATGAGACTTGCAACTATAGGGACAATGGGCAGCAGCAGCTTGTCCCAGGCTAACCCCCCAAACCTGTCTCCAAAGCCCCTTTTTCTCTGACTTTCCAGTGAGCCAAGCAGCCCCACCTAGGCTCATTTCTTTCCTATAACATTTCTAGAGAACCAAAGCAGCCCCGCCTAGGCTCTCTCCTAATGCTGCTTCTATCCAAGGCCCTCCCTTGTTTTACTATCCCCAGCTTTAATAACGTACTGTACTCTAAAAGTCAAAAGGAAAAAAAAAAGAATGAAATAGTTTTTTCTTTGGAAATCTGAAACCATCATATATTTCTATAGTATACATGACTCCCCCCTCGTCCCCTCTCCCCCGCAATATCCACACCTGGAAAGGTTCTTGTTTCTGGAGTTTGAAAGGTCATTAGTACTAACACAAGGATCAGGATGATGGAGGAGACTTTTTTTCCTTTAAAATTAATCTTTACACTTGATTTTAGCCAAAGGCTGAGAAGTGATAAATGAATCTCTTATGTGGAAAGAAATGGTTTTTGTAGGAGAAGAAATAGGGTGCATGTGTGTGTTTTTATTGTAGGGGGAGAAATTTTTGAGCAGGGTCATTTTGATATGATTGCATTCACTTCTAAACATTGGCCAGTTGTCCACTTTCTCTCCCTTTTAATGTTTTATAGGACTACTAGAGGCCCAGTGCATGAAATTTGTGCGGCGAGGTTGGGGGGGGGTGTATCCCTCAGCCAAGCCTGCACCCTCTCCAATCCGGGATCCCTCTGTGGGTTTAGGCCCAACTGTGGATTTAAGCCCTATCCCTGGGACATCCTTCTCACAATCTGGGACCACTGGCTCCTAACTCCTCCCCTGCCTGCCTGTCTGATCACCCCTAACTACCCCCTCTGCCAGCCTGATCACCCCTGACCTCCTCTACCTGCCGGCCTGATTGCCCCTTACTGCCACCTCCTCCCTCACTGGCCTGGTCGCCCCAACTGCCCCCACCCAAGTTGATTAGTTCCTACTTTGCCTGTACAAAACCTTCCTTGTCCTGAACTACACAATTCTTAGCTTAATCACAGTACATGCTCTGTTAAAAAGTACAAAATCTGTAACGCAGCCTGCTGTTCAGTCGTTTGGTTGTCCCTCACTAACCCCCCTGCTGGCCTGGTTGCCCCATGCAGCCTGTTGTTTGTTACTGTGATAGCGTCCTGGCAATTTGCATATTCCTCTATTATTAGTATAGATAACCTCCAGACTTTTTTTTTTTACCCCCAAACTCTTGTATTTATTTTTCTTCATTATCTCTAGTTCTCCTACTTAGGTGATACAGCTTGAACAGGTGGTTGAGAAATTGTAAAACACCTTG